TGGCTTCCACAGGACACTGGAAGGGGCAGTAGCTGTGGCCTTTTGGTAGGATCCCAATTCGTCGGTCATCCGTCCCTGAAGGAGGGAACGGAGATGTCACGTCCCGTCGCCACATCTCCTGTACCACCGCTGAGCGGCCGGGTCACCGGCTCAGCTCCTCAGCGAAAACCTGAATATGCGCTGCATCTGCTGCCTACTTATACTCACGCTGTGATCAGCAGCAGCTGGATGCAATAATCGCATGCCAATGTGCTTTGGCTCATTTAGTTTACACTCGAAGAAGATTGGTCTCTCTAAGCGAGATCCCAATTCGTCGGTCATCCGACGTGACATCTCCGTTCCCTCCTTCAGGGAACGAGGGTTACCATACGTAACCGAGACGTTTCTCCTGCATGAAAACTGGGTTAGGAGATTTTAAGTATCCAAAGTAGTATCCATTTAATGTCAAAAACCACACACATCAGCTTTAAAAGTAATATATATATATACTGTATATATATTAGATCTTTTATGTTGTTTATTATTAAAATATATTTAAATTGATGCATTATTAATGTTAAATTAACTAAAGTTAAATTAGACTTTGTCTTTGCTAGAAAGTTCGAGCTTATAATTTTTCAAAGAAGCATCTCCTCTGTAACCTCTCATTTTGTGTTGACTGGAATTAGTTATGATTGTCTGTGTTTGTGTTCTGTACCATTAACTCTCATCAGCTAAATTTGTACTCTTGCGTCTTACAATTCCATCATCAAGTCAAACATTTTTAATGTTTATGTGTTAATACCATGTCTCATTGTTCTTTTGCATCTCACTACAATGACTAAATGCATTCCAGTACTTCTTTTCTTTATAACATTTATACATCAATCAAAGAACACATCCTTGCAAATCATTCTGACCACAACAGCCCACAAAGCCCATTTTTCTTTAAATGCTAAATCTGAATTGAATAAGAGATGTGTGCCTGTTCACAGCCAAATTTGACTGTAGGAAACTAAAGGAGACTCCATTTAACAATATATACACTATCGTTGCTCACCAAGGCTGCAACTATTTGATCAAAAAATACAAAAAATAACAATAATATTTTTAAATATCATTATAATTTGAAATAATTGTTTTCTATTTGAATGTGTTTTCAAATGTAATTTGTTCTTGTGATGGCAAAACCTATTTTCAGCAGCCATTACTCAGTCTTTGGTGTCACATGATCCTTCATAAATGATCTAATATACTGTTTTGGTGCTCAAGAAACATTTCTTATTATCAATGCTGAAAATAGTTGTGCTGCTGAATATTTTTGTGGGTTAATGTGAAACGTTTGGTTTATTAATGCATCCTGTACACACAAAATATTGTCCATGTTGATTTAACAAAAATGAGGCACACACAGACACTTAAAAGGAAACTCTTAGAGTACACAGCCTTTTAAACTAGAAAACAGAGCAGTTCCAGTCCAGAGCTAATAAACGTAAATCAGAGGTTGATCTTTCTCTCAAAATCTCCTCTCATGTGTTCCATTTCAGTTGTTGAGATGGTCTTCCCCATCATTATCCTTCCTGACATCCTTGTTGTCTTGTGTACCCTGCAGATTTCAGATTAATGTTCATGGATGAAGTCTGGCTTTGTTTTAATCATCCAAAAGCACACCGGCCTCTTTCTCCCCCAGTCTCGAGGGGTGCAGAAAGAAGTCAGGGATTTTACAGAGACAGACGCCATCACAAGTGAGAATGGGCCGTATTAAGAACGCTCTGGGTTTGATTGCAGCGGTGGGATTCCCAAAACACGGAACGTGCAGTGTCCTTCTACCGCAACCACGGCGTAATAGATTATCCAGAGCTAATCTACAGAAATATTTACTTAATCTGGGAATCCTCTTACCGGACCACGCTGTGTCAAAGGGCTTAAATCCAGAGCATTGCTAATTCGTCCTGTATCCTCACTCACAATCTGGGTCTTGCTTGGTAAAATCTCTCATAATTTGGTCACAGTACTTTTTTTTTTACACTTTAGCACAACACAAGACAACTAATATTACATCAACAAGCCCAGCAGAGCCAGGCACACAGTCAGATCAGTTTTATGTTCTGTTCACTTCCTCTACGACTTAATAGACTCACTTTTATTTGACACAACCTCTGCCTCGCCGTATCATATCACCAATGCTGACCCAGCTTATTTTATTATCATTTCAAGAAACCCAGTAAACCTGGCAGTGTTAAAACTGAACGAGCAGGGCCTGTTGGACAAATTGAAAAACAAATGGTGGTACGACAAGGGAGAGTGTGGCAGCGGGGGAGGTGATTCCAAGGTCAGCCCCAATATGAGCTATCCGGCGGGTAACCAACCACCACCTTGGGGGGGGTAACCGGCAACTTCAGTTAACAAACACCTCGGCTGCCATTGTATGCTAATTGGAAATAGTCCAACCTGAAGTGGTTTATTTAATGCGATTGGGACGTTTAAATGATTGGCGGTCAATTATAACCTTGTCGTTTGAGCAACAAACTCAAAACTGTGCAAATCCGAGTGTTTCCGATCTCTTGCCGGTTACCCAAAGTGATATAGTAATACACATCTTGCCGTAGGGAGAAAGGTCACAAAGCTAGATGGAGTATTAATGCATATCACTTTGGCAGTGACGGTTTTCAAACTCTGTGACTGTGCTGTTCTTTCTTTTTTTTTTCCTGTTTTTGTTTTCTTTTCTATTTATCAAAAACATAATTTATGTTTCAAAACGTTATTATGGGTGTATGTTTGCTTAAATGCTGAATAACATAAGATAACATGGGTAATGTTATTTATGTTATTTTCCTGGTTGAAGAATCCCTGTAAACCTAGCGGTGTTGAAACTCAATGAGCAAGCCGTCTTAGACAAACTGAAAAACAAATGGTGGTACGATAAGGGGGAGTGTGGAAGCAAGGACTCCGCCAGAAAGGTCAGTTCACTCATTGGTCCTTTCCCTCACTTAGAGATCCAGCTTTAGCACTTTACTAAAGGCCCTGTCCTCTTCTCTCTCAGACACGCGGCACAGCCAACGCTCTGTCTCCAATCTGCCATTTACCCAGAGACTTGTGCGCTCTGTCATCATGTTGCTGTCTGGCCCTTATTACTTCCCACATTACAAAATAGATGTGATGCTTGTGGTGTATTTATAGAAATAGGCAACGTGGGTTTGTTTTTTTTCTTCACTCACTTCAGTGCTTCTGCATGGGCACTTGGTTCTTCGCTTGCGCTTTTACAAATTATTGAGCTTTTCTCGCTCATTAGTTCTCATTCACTGCGTTCGTATGTATTTGTGCATAAAACTTGAGTGCAAACCTCTTTACTCGTAAATCATGCATTCATCAATAAGTTCACGCACTTAAGAATAAAAGTTTGAGGATAAAACCAGTTGAAATCTTATGAATGCAAAAATCTGACTCTGGATTCAACTGTTATTATATTATATTATATTATATTTTTTCATAAATAATTGCAACCAAATGCATTATAAGGTTTGTTTGTCATGTTTTAATGCAGTATACTTTCTAAAGGTGTAACAATAATAGATAAGTATTATAATTTATAATTTATTCATTTATTCGCGAGATCCTGAAATGCATTATCAGGTGCATTATAAGGCATAATTAATGCATTAAAAATACTTTTTATAATGCATTATACATAAAGGCTGTGAGTAAAGTGTTAACTACTTTTTATATATAAACACAAAATGTATATAAATGTGTGCATTCAGAAAGTATATAAAAGTCTATTATTAAATTCAGCGTGTTGTGATGTAATTGTTTTAAATCATCACCACAGTTGGATTTAATCATCATATTTTCAAATCCATCCTGTTTTTCTTGTAGTTACCCAAAGAGTACAACAAGCAAATGTATTTTTAAATTTTAGATGCATCTTAGAAGTTACATCTGTGTTAAACTATAAATAAGATATAATATTAATACACAAAGAGGAGGATAATGAGTATTAACATATACTGAAAAAAACATTAGTGTTAAATAGTAGCTAAATTATCTTACATTACACCAGAATACTATAATTATAGTTTTGAATTATGCTGATTTCAGATGCATATTAACTACATTCTGTTAGTCCGGTGAATTTATACATGAATTTATAGAAGTAAAAAGGAAAGAGAGATTCTCACCTTGCATTCTGGGTGATTTTTAACACGTTTTATGGACAATGCATTTGTATACATATAAAATCAATATAATTTCAAAAATGAAAAGAATGAAAATATGAGTAGTAGTTGTTTTGTGCTATTTTCTCTTCATGGTATCCGCTTTCTCCTAAACTCCTCCTCATAACAACAGCGACATATAAAACCTAAAGCCACCCATCTATCTCAGCACGAGTAAATGGCAGTCTGGAGAGAAAAGTGTTGCCATGAAATGCCCTCTAACTGGATTGCTCCTCCCCTTAAGAGTCCTTCAATGCTGTCTCTGTCCAAAGACAATGTGCATGCCAATGGATGAGACCTCAATACGGTCGCCAAACAGATGCATGTCATTGACTCCCACCACCCCTGACATGACGTCTCTGCCACCAGAGACAGAAAGAGATGCCAAAGGCTCTCAGTTATGACCTTTGGACGAGAAACCTTAAAACACAGAATCAAGAAATTTTATAAACAAGACCTGCTTGGTTATACACAGTGGTGGCCAAAATGATTAGAACTAGTATTGTCACCAGCTTAGAAATGGTTTTAAGTCAGTTATTTCTATCTTTTGCTGTAGTGTGTCAGTAGGAAATATCAGTTTGCATTTCCAAACATTCATTTTATCATTAATTGTAATAATCCAGCGAGATTTTTGACAACAGCCAGTGCTCCACACAGAGATCTGATCTCAACGTCATCCAGTCTGTCTGGAATGACATGAAGAAACGGAACAAACTGAGACAGACTAAATCCAGAAGAACTGTGGCAACGTCTCCAAGATGCTTCAAGAAACCTACCTGTAAAGCTACCTGAAAAACTATGTGCAAGTGCACCGAGGGCAAAAGCTGCTTTAAATGCAAAGGTTGATCACACCAAATGTTGATTTAATTTAGTTAATATAAGTTAATTGATAAAGAAAATCTATTTATGACCTTATTTTTGACAGCATCCTCATTTTAGAGCATTTTTACACAAGTGCCTAAAACTGTAGTACTGTAGCTTTACAGATAGGTTTCTTGAAGCATCTTGGAGACGTTGCCACAGTTCTTCTGGATTTAGTCTGCCTCAGTTTGTTCTGTTTTTTCATGTCATTTCAGACAGACTGGATGACGATGAGATCAGATCTCTGTGTGGAGCACTGGCTGTTGTCAGACTCCTTGTGCAAACAAAAATCTCACTGGATTATTACAATTAATGGCAAAATGAATGTTTGGAAATGTAAACTGATATTTCCTACTGACACACTACAGCAAAATATAGAAATAACGGACTTAAACCCATTTTTTAGCTGGTGAAAATACTAGTGTTCTAATCATTTTGGCCACCACTGTACCTGCATGGTTTAAATAAAGCACTATATATTTTATATAGAGGTATGGATATAGTTCAAATGTAAAAAGTGAGATTTATTTATTTGATTGATATTTTATTATAAAATTTTATTTTTTTATATTTATAATGCTTTGTTAAACATTAAACCACTATGCAGAGACAGCCAGAATTTATTGAAAGATTAATGTTTGTTCCAAGCTTGCAACTGACGCATGCATTTGCATGATTTAAGCAGTTCTTTTTTTATTGCCGAGTCATTTTATATACTGCGACAGAATGAATATTATGAGTTATCAATTTAAATATATAGTGAATGAATAAGTATCTAGATTTTGTTTATGTGTACATTATGTCTTAGATCTGTAAATATAATTTTGTTTGTTTATTGATTAGCTGTACTAGAAAGAGATAATGTGTGTTTGTTGCTCTCCTGTAGATGTGTGTTTATGTGTTTGTGTGACAGATCTCAGTGCGAGTGTTTGATTGTCGTCTCTGCTCTGCAGGATAAGACCAGCGCTCTGAGCCTCAGTAATGTGGCTGGAGTTTTCTACATTCTGATTGGTGGGCTTGGGCTGGCCATGCTGGTGGCCCTGGTTGAGTTCTGTTACAAATCCAGAATCGAGTCTCGAAGGATGAAGGTTTGTAAAAACCATGATAATCCACCCCGTTCGGCATCTACAGCCCAGTATAGTGCAATATTTAGATCTGTCCACATTTAATTATGGGCTTTGTGTTTGGCACTTATAATGTTTTATAACTGCTATCATATACTGACCTCACTTTCTCTGGGGGATCTGGCAGAGGAACGTGTTGGCATTTAAGAGGTAATTGTGGGTGGGTGAAAACATCATACCACCCACTGCGCCTCTCACTAATCCTGGAGCGCATTGCTCTTGAACGCTTACAAAATTAAGAAGAATACAGTGACTTATATAGATTTAATTACCCACAAACCCATGTGGTGACTCATTATTTTCATTTAAGGTCCTTCAAAGGGAAATCTGAGAAGTCATTTTTAAGACATGGTTTATGAAACACATGGTGTTGCATAAATATATTTTTCAGACAGCGTCCAGGAACAGCAATTTTTAAATGTAATAAATTATCATGATTACTTTCCACATGAAATGGCTTAGTTACAGTTTCCTTTCATGCGTTGACATTTTTTATTAAAACAGGACGTTTGGGAAATGTTCGGTGGAACATAAAAAATGATTGTCAGTGTGGTATAGTGTTGTTTTTGGATCAAGTTCATTTTCATTGTATGGACAAAAACATACATGTTTTGCAGAATAAAAAAAGCCATACAGGTTCGGAACAACATGAGGGTTAATAACAAAATTAAAATTTTTAGTAATAGTTCGCCCAAAAATGAAAATGTGCTGAACATTTACTCACCTTCAGGCCATCTAATATGTAGATGAGCTTGTTTCTTTATCAGAAATTTAGCTTTAGATCACTTGCTCATCTGTGGATCCTCTGGAGTGAATGGGTGCCGTCAGAATGAGAGTCTAAACAGCTGATAAAAACATCTAAATAAAGTGTTATAAAATCCATCTCCTGTTGTCCTCTCACATCAAAATCCACTGGCATTTTTGTTTACAGTTTGTAAACAGTGCTTGATCTGTACGTATTTCTCTCCTGATTCAGAAAAGATGACTTTTCACATGAGAAAGCAATAATATGGATAGAGGACTATGTCATCATGTTTTTTTTTTTATTAAAAACGCACACCTTTTTGCTTCACAAGACATTAACTGATGGACTGGAGTTGTGCTGATTACTTGTGGATTATTGATGTTTTATCAGCTGTTTGAACTCTCATTCTGACGGCATCCATTCACTACAGAGTATCCACTGGTGAGCAAGTGATGTAATGCTAAATTTCTCAGAATCTAATGAAGAAACAAACTCATTTACATCTTAGATAGCCTGAGGGTGAGTAAATATTTAGCAGATGTTCATTTTTATGTGAACTATTCCTTTAAGTGTAACACCTCTAAATATTTGTACCATGTATTTTGTCTCACACCATCTACTTCAGCGACATGCCACTCTTCTCTCTTCATTCTTCAAGTGTTAATACATTACAATCACAGAACAGCCACATTTAGAATATCACAGCAACAAATCGTTGTTGCTTGCAGGTCAATTAGTCTGCATCAGCCCGAGCAACATAATCCCCAGCAATTCACTGAAGTGTGCTGGATTTAAATCATTTATTCGTCAAGGATGTACAAACCAGTATCCACATCATTAGCTCCAGTTTCAAGCCTACAGGGTTTCATTATGTAAAATTGCTACATGAGAGAGTGGCTCTGAGTTAGTGTGGCACTGGTCTCATCGTTGCTGCACTTGATGGCTGTTATTTTTCACCATTTTTTTTATCATGAATCATTGCCCGCACTGGCTGGAGCAAATCCTCAGATCAAATGAAATGTGTTTATGCGTAATTGAGGTCAGAGCTGGCGCGAACAGTTAGCCGGCTTCAAAACTGCACCGCATGTGCACTGTTTTGCCGTTTGTGCTGCAATGCCTGCGCAGTGTGCTGTCTGAGCAGCTTCTTTGTGTTTCTTTTCTCCTAGCAAATCATTGATGCAGCCATGCTCGGCTCCACACTGACTAGGATGGGCAGCGGAGGTGAGAACGGACGCGTGATGGCCCATGATTTCCCCAAAGCGGCACAGACTCTGCCATGTATGGGCCAGGCAGCCGCCATGGGCCTCAGCACCACTGGGATGTAAACAGCCATCAGCCTCTCCGAGATCAGGGGACATCAGGAGACCGATGGAAAGAGTGGGAGAGGACATGAGAGACACTGCAGCGTACCGCTCACCTGCCACTGAAGTACTGCCAAATGGATTCATGGAAACACTCTGGGATCCAAATCAAATTAGATAAGGAGGGAGGAAAATCACTTTTCTAATATTAAGATGTGTTTTTTTGGAACTTCTCCGGTGCAATAAGGAGACCATGCGTGAGATGTTTTTGTATGAAGTATCATTTTTGTCAAAACCGAGAAATTTCCCTCAATCTCATAAATTACTGACAATTGAACTGCTGTGTTTCCCCCCAAATAACAATTTCCAGTTGTGCTCATTTTATTCTTTTAATCACACATCTCTGTTTGAGGAACATTTTTGCCCAAAGTATTCTTCAACCATAGTTACATAATTTATCAAATAGGAATAGTTCACCCAAAAATGAAAATGTAATGTCTAACTTGTACTGTGAATGAAAATTGTTCTTAATGGAAACTGATTTTGAGAAGTTTTTCCATTGCATCACTTGCTCACCAATGAATCCACTGCAGTGGATGGGTGCCATCAGAATGAGAGTCCAAACAGTTGATAAAAACATCACAGTAATTCACAAGTAATCCACATGACTCCAGTCCATCATTTTATGTCTTGTGAAGCAACACGCTGTGTTTGTAATAAACAAATTCTCATTCTGATGGCACCCATTCACTCCTTTGGTGGGCAAGTGATGTAATGCTAAATTTCTTCAAATCTGTTCCTATGAAGAAACAAACTCCTCTACATGTTGAATAACCTGAGAGTGAGTATATATTTTTAAGCAAATTTTCCTTTTTGGGTGAACTGTTCCTTTAAAGGAACCTCTGTCTGCCATTGGTTGGACAAACAAATAGTCCTGTACTAAACTCAAAGTTTTTGTATGTGCACTATAAAGTGCTTACTATACAGACGTTGAGTGTTAATCTGGGAAAGGAGAAAGTATTTTAAAGGGATAGTTCACCCAAAATTGAAAATTCTGTAATAATTTTCTCACCCACATGCTGTTCCAAATCTGACTTTTTTGTGGAATGTTTTAATTTCCCTTGACTGTCATTTTATGGACAAAACAATTAAAACATTCTACAAAATATCTTCTAGGTTCCACAAAAGAAAGAAAACCATAAAGGTTTGGAACGACATGAGGGTGAGCAAATAATGACAGAATTAACATTTTTGGATCAACTATCCTTTTACCATTGAAAAAGTTATAATCTTCACCTTTAAGAAACAATTATGAATGAAATTAAATGTTTGTTTGATGTCATCCCATGAAAGCTAGGAAGTGTGCTTCATCAGTGTGTCAGCTTCATTGCACAGTCTACAAATGTCTTCCTTTCCAACCAGTTTGATTGGCAAGCCTCTCTAGGGAAGGTGAGTTCTTCCATAGGTTCGGAGAGGCTGATTACCAGTCCTGTCATTGTTACTGCTGTAGCTCACAGTCTCACCCTTCACTTACGAACACTTTGGATCACCGCTTTCCCGACCATTCTGCTCAATAGAGTCTGAGAGTTAAAGACGTCAGAGAGCGAGAAAAGGGGGTATAGGCTACGCAGCTCCACGTTTTTTGTTACTGTTTTGCTACTTCCATTCTGTCTTCCTTTCTTGGTTTACATGACATTTTTCTGTTGAAGTAGCTGATGATATGTATAGTACATCATTCCCACACTCAACCGTTAATGAGTTCGGTGTACACAGATGCGACAGTATCAACAAATTCAAGGGCAGCATGAGCACCCGGGAGACCGTCGACTTAGAAGCCCTAAAACTTATGTTTGTAATATTGTCTTTGTAATAACAGTTGAAATATTGTCGTGTAAACACCAATTCCATGAAAAGCATTTTATGGAATTCGGCCTAATAGCTGACACACGGACAACAATTGCTCATGCTGTGAGATTAATAGGGTGATTTAATAGCCTGACTCTAACAGTCCATTTGAGAGGAACAAAGCTCGGTGGCGATGACTTGTTTGCTTCAGTCGTTCATTGCTTTATGCTGTAATAAAATGAACCCACTTTTGGATACATAGACAGGCAACAAATGATGTCAGTAACTAATGATGATATTCAAACCTATTGAATCTTAAACTAAGACTCGCTTTTTGAATTTCGAGGTGCCACATCTGGCCTTGTGCTACTCTACCAGAATGGACGCGCTGATTCAAGCACAGAACGGGATGTGAGGTAGAAGATCACAATAAAAGAGATGAACTCTAATGGACTGATCATCAGAAACTACAAATGAGCACAGAGGTAAAACTGAATGTCAGTACGCTAAGCACAAGATCTTCTTTCAGCCATTCAGGAGAACTTTCTCTCCCCGGATGAGGCTATGTCGGGAGCTTTTCTCTGTTTGTATCCTTCCTCAATACTTTGCCATTGGACCTTCAGCGGTTATACATCGTCTGTCCTTTTTATTGCCAATTCCATTTGTACAAAATAGAGAGAATCAACCATAACATGACGTGGAACATTTGTGCTGACAAAACGGTGCTTTGTGGCCTTTGTTTTCCATTTGATGGGTTATTCGTTTGGTTTACTATATTTTGAATTATTTCTGGTCTTGTATTTAAAGTGAAATTCTGTATTTAGGTGTTTCTTTGGTTGGTTTTGCACTTCTAGTCTTAAATAGGGCTGTCAATCGATTAAACATTTTAATCGATTGAATCAAAATATACGGATTAATTAGTTGAATTAATCTTACTGTATATCCATGTTTCCTGACAAAGAAATAAAATAAATTTAAAATGAATTTATTAATTAATCATTTAAAAATACAACATTATTGTGGCATGACAGTTTTAAATAGACATTACACAAAGTGATTTATATATTGTCAGTAAGTCAGTATATTGTTTTGTTTTTTTCATATGATTGAACATGAGCACTCATCAATCTGTCGGAGGAAGTTTTCTGTTACTGTTTTTCAGCATTGTGTTAATTTTATTATTGCTTATTTTATTTAACCAGTAAAACATCTTATTACCTTGACAGCCCTACACTTCAGCCCTCCTCTTTTTCACATTCACCTCACAAAATACCTTTTAAAAACAGCAGCAAGATGTAGAAATCAATGTGTTGACAAGGAAATTCAGAAATAAACTTTTTCTTACTGATCGCTTTTTGTTTCCTATCAAAATTTCTGCTTTTTGACGCATGTCTATTCTCTTTGTCGCTCTCTGTTCTTAACTAGTTGACATTTGCATTTGTTTTAAGAATGAATGAAGCCAAATCTAGAGTCACGTCATTCTGTTTCTTCTCATCAGATGAATTCATGTCCACGACCGAGCTGCACTGATTACAGAACATCTTGTTTGAGCTCTGTTGGCTCTCAGAGTGCTGTATTGATCTCAATAAATGCCACATTTGTTCTCTTCCTTCTGTTTCCCCCATAGGCCTGGCCTTTCACTCACTCACTTCCAGCAGAGGAATAGCTCATGCTCAAGACATAGAAAGTGCCAGAGGCTTTCGTGCATTTGCAAAGTGTTCAGAAATGTAGCACTATCTGAACTCAGCTAATTGTGTGCCTACAGGTATACATTCATCTCTGAGAAGTTTTGTATTTAGGGTTATAGTGAGGTGCCTAAATTTAAGACCCAGCTTGAATTGCAGTTCTGTTCGATGTCGTTAAAGGGGTCTGTCATCATTTACTCACCCTTTACACGTGAATTTCTTGCTTCTGTTGAACACAAAAGAAGATATTTTGAATTTGAAGAATATTGGTAACCGAACAGTTGCTGGTAGCATTGACTCCCATAATATGGAAAAAATACAATGGCTACCAGCCATTGTTACCAATATTCTTATGTTTGTCAAAAGACAAAAAGCTTATGACTACTTAAAGCTACATGCCAGAAATAATTTGGTTAATTTATACTAAACACATACTGCAGCAGAGTGAATCACTGTTTGCTAAAAAGAGATCCTGAGATCCATACAAAATGTTTGATCTCTTTTAAAATTACTGTAAAAACAGCTACTTCTGATTTGCAGCTTCAGTCTTTTGTTATCTGCCATCTATATTCATTCTTGTTCCTCCTTTCAAATAAAAATATTAGTTATATTTAGGGTTATAGTGAGGTGCCTAAATTTAAGACCCAGCTTGAATTGCAGTTCTGTTCGATGTCGTTAAAGGGGTCTGTCATCATTTACTCACCCTTTACACGTGAATTTCTTGCTTCTGTTGAACACAAAAGAAGATATTTTGAATTTGAAGAATATTGGTAACCGAACAGTTGCTGGTAGCCATTGACTCCCATAATATGGAAAAAATACAATGGCTACCAGCCATTGTTACCAATATTCTTATGTTTGTCAAAAGACAAAAAGCTTATGACTACTTCAAGCTACATGCCAGAAATAATTTGGTTAATTTATACTAAACACATACTGCAGCAGAGTGAATCACTGTTTGCTAAAAAGAGATCCTGAGATCCATACAAAATGTTTGATCTCTTTTAAAATTACTGTAAAAACAGCTACTTCTGATTTGCAGCTTCAGTCTTTTGTTATCTGCCATCTATATTCATTCTTGTTCCTCCTTTCAAATAAAAATATTAGTTATATTATATTGTAAATATATTAAAATATATTTTAAATTACAAGATAAAAATGGCAAGAGGTAGTACCTTATACCCCAGATATATATTAAAACTATTTAAAAGATTTGTTTACTGCTTGATTGCCAAATGCGATATTGTCATTGTTTGGTTTTATAAGATTGGACATTTTTATGAAAAAGGCAATTGATTTATGATTTAGTTTTTTAGATTATTATTTTTGCCGTTTTTGAAGTGTGAAGTGTGACGTGACGTGACATGTGGCCAAGTATGGTGACCCATACTAGGAATTAGTGCTCTGCATTTATCCCATTCTAAGTGCACACACACAGCAGTGAACACACACACGGAGCAGTGGGCAGCCATTTATGCTGCGGCGCCCGTGGAGCAGTTGGGGGTTCGGTGCCTTGCTCAAGGGCACCTCAGTCGTGGTATTGAAGGTGGGAGAGAGCGCTGTACATTCACTCCCCCCACCTACAATCCCTGCCGGTACAAGACTTGAACCCGCAACCTTTGGGTTACGAGTCCGGCTCTCTAACCATTAGGCCACAACTTTTGCCTTTATTGTGACAGGAAAGAGATATGAAGCGAAGTGGGAGAGAGGGGGATGGGATCTGGAAAGGTCCTAGAGCCGGGATTCGAACTTGGGACGCTCATAGCAACGGCCCATGAGGCTATTGGCGCCGATGGAAATTCGGTTATTATTTACAATCATTTGATCTGAAATGCATGTAGCCTAATGAGTGTAAAAGCTATAGCAACATTTCATGGTTTAAAAGTCATTTTCACAAAGGACACAACACCAAAGTCAGGTCTGACTGAAACCTCACTCAGAACTTCATCATTCCGTAAGCCAAAAAAAAAAATACTCATACCAATTTTTTTTCAGTTATCCTAAAACAGTTGCCATGCCAACCCTAGCACTTCCATGCCTTAACTTGGGAAAGAGCCTCGTTGTTTGCAACTTCTGTCCGTAAACTGTTTTTCACATCATTTACTTCTCCCGCTTTCACATTCAAACAAGCAGATTGCCTTCGAAATGTTTTATTGGGAGCTAAGTGGAAATAAAAAACATGAATACTAATATCAAAGTGTCCAGTGTGTTTACTAAGAATCACTCTGGACGCATTGCATTTAAAGAGAAAAGACTTAATTATAACATCTAACACAAGCTGCGTGCAATTCACAAGCACAAAGGCAAGAGAGGGTTTATTATACATGCATAATAAAGTCACCTACAGACATCAGACTTTCAATGGAAAAACTGAACCCCAAGTGTGTAAAGTCAGTGAAATATGGAGGAGGCAGTGTCAAGGTTTGGGGCATGTTTTCTGCAGCAGGAGTTGGGATTCTTATAGAAACATGGCTGGGTGAAAAGTGTTCTCGTCTTTCTGACAGGAGCATTTCTACATTCCGGAAAAGGGAACCGAGTTCATCTCCTGGTGCCTTAAGACTTTGTCGAGGAAGAACCCAAAACGTGTTTGCGTGGAGATGACTGAAAGTGGAGGACCAAGTCGACGGAGAAGGATAGATGTGCAACAACTTGAAGATGCATGCAGAGAGGTAACTTCTTTCCTTGTCCATATAGCTGATGAAGCTGAAGTTATGCAAAAGATGAAGGAAACGTTCAAGCACAGACAATAGGGCTGCACGATAAATTGCATGCGATATTTAATGCGCATCTTGCCAGTAAAGCCGGTTCTGTAATCGGCAGTAAATCTCCATCACGTGCGTGCTTTCACATGGAGGGGGGGTGAGGAAATTAATTTAATGAATAAGATGTGTTAATTTAATTATGCATTTATCATTTCACATTGTAATTAGTGTGTTTTTTTTTGTTTTTTTTTCTCTCTCTTCAGTCCTGCAGAGAGAAAAGTATTGAAGGCCGTCTCGGCAGGAGGGAGGGCCACCAGCCATTCCTATTGCGATCAGGAAGGAGTAAGGGCAGGATCAACCACTTTTACATCGTTGTGGACCAGCACCTCATCCCTTGCGTTGGAACCAGCTCCTTGAGTGCCTTTGAACTTTTTCAAAAACTTTTTTTAAACTTCAACCTGTCCTACGACGAAGCCCTGGTGTCAAAAGCCAACAGCTTGTTCTACAGGCCTTTTGATCAGCAGTGTTTATATGGGTCAGATGATGGTGAATATATATGGTACCTTTTTTGTGTTGGTTGTAATGGTTACATCTGTGTTAAAAATAAAATTTCAAACTGATACAGCGTGTTGAATTTTTTTTTTACACCGAATGCACAGGTATTTTTAGTCGAATACAGATTACACATTTACTTTAATCAGGGTTTGTATGAACACTATATTAGTGTGGAGATAAGTCTCTTGGTGTTAAGCTATTGACACACGTAGTGTAGTTTCAACACTAACTTGGTGTAAATGAGGGGGAGGGAAAACACTAATGGTGAACACTCAGTGTTGTTTTTACTCCATGCAAGTGTAAAAAAAAAAGTAACCCTATTTAAAGTGTTAGTTTAACTCTATTTAGTGTGGACCTATATAAACCCCGAAAAAAGTGTTAATTTTCTCACTGTGTGTTAATTTAACACTTTCAAATTTGTTGTGAGCAGTTCCTTGAAGCTAAGAACATTGACATAATGAAATGGCCGGCCCAGAGTCCTGATCTAAACCCAGTTGAAAATTTCTGGAAAATTCTTGGTGACAAAGAAACCTATAGGTTACCAAACTATGGAACTAAGAGAGTGGAAGAAAAGTGGACCAAGATCACACCAGAGCAGTGTGAGAAACTAGTGATGTCCTGTAGCTGCAGATGCTCTGAAGTCATTCAAAGCAAGGGTCTCTACACACTACTAATTTCTGACAGCTGTAACCCTCCAAAAGTGTAGTTGTAATCTTCTTTTGTGTTACATTGGTTACTGTTCTCTAAATTTGATCACTGTGTTTTCCACAAAATAAGTTTTTTGTTGAAATACCTTGGATGTTTTGTCAAACATGTTAGTAGAACAGTGCTATACCTAGTCTGCCAGATATTCTTAAAATGTTTTTATGTATATATTTGCATTTTGCAACAGGGCAACTTTTTATTTTATGACGGCAAGATTCATAACATTTAACCCTACATTTGCACCCTCAATAATCACCTTATGCAATTCAGTGGAACTTGTGCTTATGTAGCCAGTGTCAAGGGAGTTTTGTGTGAGCTCACTTGCTCTAGGTTACCAGTCTCCAGACGGTCTGCAATGGCCCCAAGTGCTCCATTTAAAAACTGATTTTGACACACCCGAGCGCAACAGAATAACTGCTTACCAATCTAGTTCGAACAGGTCATGTTATTGAAATGTTGATGTGACAAAGAATGTTCAAATTGATTTGCATATACAACAACTCATGTCTCAAAGTTCTCCTTTCTCATAAGAGTATCAAGCACATCATGATCCTTCTCCAAATGGAATGTAGAACTTAGTTGCAAAACAACAACATATGGAATAGCACTGAGGGAGATTAAAGTTTAATGAGCTTAAGCCCATGCAGTGATCAAAATATAGTAAGGCTGCTAAAATGTCTCTTTTGATATAATGCACAGGTATTTTTAGTCGAATACAGATTACACATTTACTTTAATCAGGGTTTGTATGAACACTATATTAGTGTGGAGATAAGTCTCTTGGTGTTAAGCTATTGACACACGTAGTGTAGTTTCAACACTAACTTGGTGTAAATGAGGGGGAGGGAAAACACTAATGGTGAACACTCAGTGTTGTTTTTACTCCATGCAAGTGTAAAAAAAAAAGTAACACTATTTAAAGTGTTAGTTTAACTCTATTTAGTGTGGACCTTTATAAACCCCGAAAAAAAAGGGTTAATTTTCTCACTGTGTGTTAATTTAACACTTTAAAATTTGCTGTGAGCAGTTCCTTGAAGCTAAGAACATTGACATAATGAAATGGCCGGCCCAGAGTCCTGATCTAAACCCAGTTGAAAATTTCTGGAAAATTCTTGGTGACAAAGAAACCTATAGGTTACCAAACTATGGAACTAAGAGAGTGGAAGAAAAGTGGACCAAGATCACACCAGAGCAGTGTGAGAAACTAGTGATGTCCTGTAGCTGCAGATGCTCTGAAGTCATTCAAAGCAAGGGTCTCTACACACTACTAATTTCTGACAGCTGTAACCCTCCAAAAGTGTAGTTGTAATCTTCTTTTGTGTTACATTGGTTACTGTTCTCTAAATTTGATCACTGTGTTTTCCACAAAATAAGTTTTTTGTTGAAATACCTTGGATGTTTTGTCAAACATGTTAGTAGAACAGTGCTATACCTAGTCTGCCAGATATTCTTAAAATGTTTTTATGTATATATTTGCATTTTGCAACAGGGCAACTTTTTATTTTATGACGGCAAGATTCATAACATTTAACCCTACATTTGCACCCTCAATAATCACCTTATGCAATTCAGTGGAACTTGTGCTTATGTAGCCAGTGTCAAGGGAGTTTTGTGTGAGCTCACTTGCTCTAGGTTACCAGTCTCCAGACGGTCTGCAATGGCCCCAAGTGCTCCATTTAAAAACTGATTTTGACACACCCGAGCGCAACAGAATAACTGCTTACCAATCTAGTTCGAACAGGTCATGTTATTGAAATGTTGATGTGACAAAGAATGTTCAAATTGATTTGCATATACAACAACTCATGTCTCAAAGTTCTCCTTTCTCATAAGAGTATCAAGCACATCATGATCCTTCTCCAAATGGAATGTAGAACTTAGTTGCAAAACAACAACATATGGAATAGCACTGAGGGAGATTAAAGTTTAATGAGCTTAAGCCCATGCAGTGATCAAAATATAGTAAGGCTGCTAAAATGTCTCTTTTGATATATAAACAACACTTTACAGCCAATATAAGCATGTCTTTCTTCTTTATCTCTGCTCAAACCCGTTATAAGCCAAACTGGTTCTCCAGCTTTCTGGAGAAACTTGTGGGCATACCATAGCAGTATCAGGTATCTGCTGTTCTGAGATTACAATATAAACAAGCAAATAACAACTATTTTGCTGGATATAATAAGCCTAGGCTATTTGTAGGCTTAGCCTATATGTCTAACTCTCAATTTGATATGTATCATTTAGCTATCCTACAATAATAGTTCATGTTGTAAAATGTCGTTTTAAAGGCAGCTCGTGACAGTAACACCACGTCCTCCCCCCTCAATCAATATAAACGTCATGTTTAAATAGGAAGCTTAAGTGTGTTTGAGTTCTGCTCATGGTTTTACGAGGAAGGTCGTTACTGAGTAGTGCAGTTGTCAACTGCTGGCTCGTTATTACGCATCCCGTGGTGTCACCGAGGCGCTGTTTGGGCGTGGCAGTACCTGCTTTGCTCGTGGCGCATCTCAGGTGTCGTGTTTTCCTCCGCTGTGGTTCTTTAGTGCTATGAAGTTACGCGCGGGGTTGGTACCGACGCAGAACGCGTATTCTGGCATATTCAAATGAAGTCCGAAAGAAATATGTTTACCTCGTAGTTTATTCTGATACAAAGTGTTTTGTTTTTAAATGGCTTCATTTCGATACGTTTTAACCCGTCGTGTAAATAACAGTGGGTGAAACAATGAAAGACATACACCTGCCATCCGATTCATGTATCAATGGTAAGAGAGTTTGTTGTTGTTGTTGTTTTCTTCAACGACTACCATCAGTAAGAGACTATAACATAACTTGCAATATTATTTTATTATGTGTTTGTGTGTTTTTGTGCATGCAGTATGAAAACTGCTTTTGGTTGGTTATTTGTAATAGATGCACGTTATAGTAGTTATTAGTTTCGACTCATCAATGTGTTCTTCTTTGGAAAGAATATGAATGACATCATGTTTATTAACATATGATAACATCTTTGTTTAAAGGACAAACATTCCTTATTGTATGATGTCAGCCTTTCAGTCAATGGCAGATAATTGTTTATGCCTGTACCTTTGGTTTCATTGTTCCCTATAAAACACTATGTAAACTATCTTTAAAAGGTGATTTATAAACGCAGGAGCTTTAGAAATGAGATGGTGACCATGAATGATGATTATTATTATTAAAATGAGTTGTATAGGCCTATGCTAAGTTGTGCAGCTGTTGTCAGATCTTTTATTAACCTTAAATATTTCAATAAAAAATTCTGTAATCATTTATATAACAATTATATTTGTATTAAAATGTTGAATAAAAAGTAACAAAACGGTAGCCTGTAGTGAGTTCATTGCCCTTTCTTGCCATACTGTCAGTGATGAAATGCTGCTGTTTTAGCAATGTTGATTTAGCTGTTTCATGTCTTTTATAAAGTGATTTAAAAAAAATGTTTTTTATAACAAAATAATTTGAATAAGCAATTTTTTGAGTGCCATTATTTATTTTGAACAATTTTGTTAGGTATTTTACTCCAAACAAATACTGTGGTAATGTAACCTATTGTTGTAACATGTTGTTCCTCTTTGTTCTTGTGATCAGGTTCAGTAATAAGGATCTTCTGTCCCACATCCGCCTCTGTTTGTGTGTTTGACACGGGTGTTGGCAACACGTCTTTTAGTGTAGACAACCCCAATAAAAACTCTACAGTCAACACCGCAGCTCTCACCATCGACAAATGGAGCAACTACAATTTCTGGACGGGCTTGACGCTGGCCGTGTTCTCAGCTTTTCTTATAGGAGGAAGCATTATCCTGAAGAAGAAGGCTTTGCTGCGTTTGGCCAGTACTGGGGAGACGAGAGCAGGTAAGGGCATGTACATCAGTATTTACATAATACAAAGACTTCAAAAGTGCCGTCAAATTCTGATAAAATAACCTTTATTAGATATTTATATTTTAATATTCAGAATGTTGAGTTGTTTATGAGGGTATTTAGTATTAACGCTAATTATTTGACTTGACTGAATTGCAATTGTGACATTGGTTGAAACTTGAAACTGGTTCCTTTTTTGTTTGTGCTTAGCTAATAATGACAGAATCACCAGCAAGGCTTTGTTTTGTGTTCTTTAACAAACTGAATATGTGAAAATGCTTGTGTGTTTAGCTGAGGGAGGTCATGGGTACCTGAAGGACTGGCTGTGGTGGGGAGGCCTTTTGACAAGTAAGTGCAATGCAAAGCATCGGCCAATCATTTTTCTTTGATGACTCCGACAGACATGGATTATATGCTGTTGTTTTTTGCAGTGGGTGGTGGTGAAGTGGCCAATTTCACGGCGTACATGTTTGCTCCAGCCACAGTGGTGACCCCTTTAGGAGCTCTCAGTGTTCTTATCAGGTAACGGCACCACCCTTATTTACTCTCGCCAACGGTTTGCTCCACACAATGCTGTACAAACTTTACAAGTCTGTGAGTGAGAGGACTAGTATATTTTGAAATATTTATGACTAATGTAAAACATCCTGAATTGCAATTCCTTTTATGCAAATAAAGCACATTTGACTGAGCTATAGCCTCCTGAGACCCTGAGTCCTTAGTAAAGGACATTATATTTTAATGAACTTCTCTGAGACTATACATGCCACAGTTTTAAGTCTAGAACTGTACAGAGCACATGCAGGGCTTTTCAGAGATAACAAATGTTTGGAAGTTTCTGTCAGGGTTTGGGTAGAGAGATGAGGCGAGAACTCACTGATGCAGGAGATGGGCTTTTATTAATAAAATAAAACAAAAACAACAACAAAAACTACCCCATGGAGGAAGGGCAGGGCAGGGCAAGGCAAGAAGAACTCACTGATGCAGGAGATGGGCTTTTATTAATAAAATAAAACAAAAACAACAACAAAAACTACCCCATGGAGGAAGGGCAGGGCAGGGCAAGACAGGACAGGACAGGACAGGACAGGACAGGGCAGGGCAGGGCAGGGCAGGGCAGGGCAGACGAGACACAACAGGATACATGCGATGACGAACTAGCACGGGACTGCAAACACGAGATTAAATAGGGAGCAAATGAGGAGGGTAACGAGGGAACACAGGTGGGGCAAATTAACCAATAATCAGATAACAAGATGGAGGGGGTCAAAACAATTGACATGAGAACACATGGCACACAGGAAACAAAGACAAAAGCCATGCGCTCACACAAAACAAAAACACAAGCACATGGCCAGCAAAACAATCTCAAGCCATGTGCTTGAAGAAAACAAGACACAAACATGCAGCTAATGAGAACACTCATAAGCGGGCAAGACAGGACAGGGCAGGGCAGGGCAGACGAGACACAACAGGATACATGCGATGACGAACTAGCACGGGACTGCAAACATGAGATTAAATAGGGAGCAAATGAGGAGGGTAACGAGGGAACACAGGTGGGGCAAATTAACCAATAATCAGATAACAAGATGGAGGGGGTCAAAACAATTGACATGAGAACACATGGCACACAGGAAACAAAGACAAAAGCCATGCGCTCACACAAAACAAAAACACAAGCACATGGCCAGCAAAACAATCTCAAGCCATGTGCTTGAAGAAAACAAGACACAAACATGCAGCTAATGAGAACACTCATAAGCCGCATGTTCACACAAGACAAGACAGCATGCAGCCAGTGAAAACCAAGCTGCATGCTACACAGCACAAGACAAAACAGGTCATGAAAGCACGCAGCCGATAACACGAGCTGTGTGCAACAACAACACAAGACAACAAGAAAAGCACGCGGCCGAATACAAACCGCGTGCTACACAAAACCCAACACACGTGGACAGAAGAGCGCACGGCTGAGCGAACTCAAGACCACATGCTCCCACAACAAGACAGAACATGGAGCGCGAGTTTCCGGACCCCGACACGAAATCCAACAAGACATGAGTGCCGGGATCCGAACACCACGCTCCAACATGAAACAAGGAAACAGGACACGCAGACGAGAGAGCGCACGGCTCGAGCACTCTCGAAGCCGCGTGCTCACATGAAAACAAGACATGATGGGAGTGTCAGGGTTCTGTCACTTCGGTCTAGTGTTATTCATGGTTTTGTGACAGAGCCCTGACACTCCCATCATCACCTGACAGTTTCACCATGACCACTCCCTCTCCTTGTTTTTCAAACATGGCTGACATTAATTTAGTGATCAAATGTGACACTCTTATGGAAATATAATAATATTTTGTAATTATAATTTAAATCTGACTAATTTTTAAACAAAACTAACATCTCAGGAAAATTTTATGGGGTTTCAAATCAAAATATGACTTTCTGTTACGAAACAGACGTTGATTTCATACATGTCCACTGTAGAGGTCACCGGTACTTTGTGCATTTTGGGAGACACAACAAATAAATAGGGAAATAAATTATATTTCAATATTCCTATGAAATATTAGATATTATTATGAAAATCTTGACAATTATTACTCCCATTATTACACTTATTTTTTCATTACATGTTGCCCCAAGAACACATTAATATTCAAATTCGATACAGTGTATAGATACATTGTATGTAATGGGAAAACCCTCTTATGGCCATTTTACACACATACTGCAAAAAGCAAAATAGTAAATCAAATCATTCTATTTTATCTTTTATAACATAGTTGAGAATCGTCTTTATACAAAGTTTGGCATAAAAATATGCATGTTCATTCATGTCTCTTTATTTTTTTTCCTGGTGTCCTCTGCAGAGGATATACAGTATCTCACAGAATTTTTGTAATTATTTTATTATATCTTTTCATGTGACAACACTGAAGAAATTACCCTTTGCTACTATGTAAAGTAGTGAGTGTACTGCTTGTATAACAGTGTAAATTTGCTGTCCCCTCAAAATAACTCAACACACAGCCATTAATGTCTAAACCGCTGGCCACAAAAGTGAGTACACCCCTAAGTGAAAATGTCCAAATTGGGCCCAATTAGCCATTTTCTCGCCCCGGTGTCATGTGACTCGATAGTGTTACAAGAGATGTGTTCGACTTGAACCACGGCTACAGACGGCGATCAACGAGAGTAGCCAGAGTAGGACACGTCAAGCCGGACACTTTCTGCTCCCGTTAGTGACGCTCACGCTGAGTTTGCATACTCTATCACAGATGAAGTAAAGACATGATGTCGTCATGGAGGAGTGGAAGAGGACTGTGAAGAGGCAACCTGTGAAGCTCTGGTGAACTCCATACCCAAGAGGGTTAAGGCAGTGCTTCAGTCATTTCTTCAGTGTTGTCACATGAAAAGATATAATAAAATATTTACAAAAATGTGAGGGGTGTACTCACTTCTGTGAGATACTGTAGCATAACATATGAATAAAATATCATTTTTCAAAATTGTTATTTTTCAAATTTTTTCTTATGCTCTAAACAATGTAATGGCATGAAAAAATAATAAATTCACACATTTTTTTTTTCTGGGTATCAAGAGGAAAGGACCCCAAGTAATGCTACAGTATGTTGTATAGTACTGACACTTGTGGGATTCTGGCGTTAAGAATATTATTTGTAATTTGTATACAGTTTAGGACTAAAATAATATAGTTTGATGTTTTCTTCAAAATAGTGCTTTTATTTATGTAGTTGTGTACACTATTTGTGTAGTAAACGAAATGATCTTATCCTCACCAAGGCTGCATTTATCTGATAAATGTAAAATACAATTTATTCCTGTGATGGCAAAGCCACATTTTCAGCAGCCATTGTTCGGTCTTCAGTGTCACATGATCTTTCACATATCATTCTAATATGCTCAATTTGGTGCTCAAGAAAGATTTTTTTCTTATTATCAGTGTTGAAAACAGTTGTGTTGCTTAATATTTTAGTTGAAATCATGATTTTTTTCAGGATTCTTTGATCAAAACATGTCAAAAGAACAGCATTCATTTAAAATAGAAATCTTTTGTAACATCGTAAATATCTTTACTGTCACTTTTCATCAATTAAATACATCCTTGAAATTAAAAGTATTAATTTCTTAAAACAAAATTTTTTACTGACCCTAAATTTACTGTCCTTCCCCCCAGCCTGTCAAATGTCTCCCCCAAACAAACAAAAAAAAGAAAAAGGTTGATACAGTCTTAACAGAGGCTGAAATGATGTCTTGCAATGCCATTTTAACACATACTGGATATTCAAAGAACATGTCAATTGATAATTTCAATAACAAGCAGTCAATTCATCATGATATGATTATTAAAAACATATAACAAGATGTTGTCCCTCTAATGTCCATTTCTCAATACGAATGCATTGATTCTGTTTATGGCCTTTTGTGTTTCTTTCTAGCGTTTTCATTAGAACTAAATGGAAAGGTACTAATGTTAATGTTTATTTACTCTCTTCAGTGCAGTTCTGTCCTCCCACTTGTTCGGAGAAACAATGAATCTGCTAGGAAAACTTGGCTGCATGCTCAGCATACTGGGAAGCACTATAATGGTTATACATGCACCTGAAGAGGAAGAGGTGACGACGCTTACAGAAATGACAGACAAACTGCTAGATCCTGGTTAGTGTTTAGATACAGTTAGTTATAGAACCGAAAATATGTTGTAATGGATAACAACAGCTTTTTCTGCATCTCCTGAAGGTTTTCTGGTGTTTGCCAGCATCCTGCTGGTCACTTGTATGGTCCTGATCTTCTACGTCTCTCCTCGCTTCGGTCAAACCAACATATTAGTCTACATCAGCATCTGCTCTCTGCTCGGATCGTTCACCGTGTCCTCGGTCAAGGGCCTCGGCATTGCGATCCGCACCATGTTCTCTGACCTTTCAGTGGTCCGTCACCCTCTCACTTGGATTCTTTTGCTGACCCTAATTGGATCCATCATCATTCAGGTCAACTATCTGAATAAGTCGCTGGATACCTTCAATACACTCTTGGTGTACCCCATCTACTACGTCTTCTTCACCACTGTAGTCCTGAGCACCTCCGTGATTCTCTTTAAAGAATGGGGAGCCATGTCAGGAGTGGATATGGTGGGCACCATCGGGGGCTTCTTGGTGATTGTGATCGGGGTGAGCATGTTACACCTCTTCAAAGACTTTAACGTGTGTTTTGAAGATTTAAGAAGCAACCTTTGTCAGCCAGAAAGCCCGTCGAAGAGGGAGGACAAGCACATCCTCATAGAGAACATAGAGAGCCTACCGCCCATGAGAGAGGAAGGGCCCAGAGTCTTCATCATCAGCTGAGATTGTATTAGATCTCAGCGAGTTTGACTATACAGTTTAGTAATATCCTCACTCTTAATCTTAATTGTTGATTTCACTGCTGAAGGCTGTTGTACTATGACGCAGTGATTTGGATTGGCTGCTGCCGAGTACGGTGATGACGCAGATATATATATATATATATTTAATATTATTTAGCTGTTACTAAAGATTTGAAAATAACTTTTAGCAACCTCGGAAATGTTTAAAGACTGAAACAGCATTAAACAGAAAATGATGCAGCAGAACTTCAAATTTTGCTGCCGAGAACTGCCAATGAAGCATGTAATATACAAAAAATAAAAAATTCCCCTCATGGATGGAACTGTGTGAGTGATCTTGAAATAGGCCAGTGAATCTAAAATATTTACATACATTTTGAATGGAAAATAAAGATTAAATGTTTCATATTTCACAGGATATGTATTGTTGTTTGTCTAGAAAAGTTCATGTTGTTGTTTTTCACATACTATCAGATGATTTACAGACATTCCACCCTCTGTGCCCCCCAATTTATGAGAATATATAATGCTTACAGTACATTAATTATATTATATTATATTATATTAAAGCCTGTTCATTTGTGTAAGCCGTGTAATGTCACAGATTTTTGGCAAATCAGAAGACAAGTGGTCATATGAATTACATATGAAACGCATGTAAGTACCGGTAAGGTGTCTTGCTTGACCACTTGTGAACAGATCACCTAAACAGGCTTTTTTCGCTTAATTTCCAGGATATTGTGAATCATTTGCAGGCATTAGGAAGCTGCAACCCATATAGTGACAGGGATGCCTGTTGTTATATATATATATATATATATGAATGCCATTTTAATATAATTCTATATTATACTAGAATATTAGAATTATTTCATAAGTGTCATGTGACTGAAGATTAGTAATGGCTGCTGAAAATTCAGCTTTGATATCACAGGAGTAAACTACATTTTAAAATATATATTCAAATAGAAATTAGTTATTTTAAATTGTAATAATATTTCACAATATTACTGTTTTTACTGTATTTTTAATCTGATTTGGTGATCAGATACTTTATTTCAAAACCATTAAAGAAATGTTTGACGCTTAATATTAAAACATGATATATGATAATGGCATATTTGTTAAATTATTGTGACACTATGATTTTCAAACTTTAGTGGAAAGCTGTAAGGTGTCATAAATCCTTGCAACACCAGTTGGTTACAAGAAATCAGAAAAAACTGTATTTGTTTCTTTTGATTTAGCATCATTTGTTTGTAGATGCCACACGGTTTGGTATTTTATATCTAATTATATCGAAGACATTCAAGTGCAACTAAAGCATCCTTTTAGGGGCCACTCTATAAGTTGAGCGAAATGTTAAGTGAAATTGCATGTCCAGTAAACATGATTTTTGTTATGGATCGAGTGCTAAATTGTCCCATATCCCATCTGAAAGCTGACCAAACACAACAAACAGTTTTCTGTAAACCATTCCTCTCTGCCGTAACAGTGTGAGTGAAGTCATTTGATCCAGCTGCAGGACACTGGCCATTTCATTTATTAGGGACAGCCGTATGACTGTGAGTTTAAATGGCCTCTATTGTCCTGTTGTGCTCCCCACTCTCTCTCTCTCTCTCTCTCTCTCTCTCTCTCTCTCTCTCACACACACACACACACACACGACGCGACTCTATCACTACA